GCAGTAAAAGGAGTAAATGCTTCAGTCTGCCTGTCTTTCCTTATCTGCATGTCCTCCTTCATTGAAGTTTGTTGTACTGATATTCATTATTCTTACTCAGTTATGCTCGTGCCATATATTCTTTAGAATGATGAACTCTATTGCTTTGTGATTATTTCATCCTAATTACATTTCTGCCCTCAGTAGTTTTTTCCTGTTAGAATTAAAAGGAACAGAACATTCCCAGAATAGCTTCATCAGCATTTTCATACAATAATACTTCCAGTACTGTGCATGTCTTGATTTTTAACTTGTTTTTTAGCAGATACAGAAGTACAGTCCTAACCCTTGAGTACTTTTCTGAACTGGTGAAAAGAAGCCTTATCTCCTCCCTGCTTACAATGATACAGTAGACCTTCAGTCTTTTCTTTTCTCTCTTATTTTCACCCAGACATATTCAGCAAGTCTGCTTCTCACCTTTTCCTGAACTTTAGAAAAAGTATACGTATAATTGATGTAAAATTTAACATCTTGCTTTTTCCCCAAAAATCTTTAGTGAAGAAGTTAGATCAATACTCTACTCATGTGAATTATCCAAATACTAGCTCATTTTAGAATTTAAACACTTTGACGGTTCAGAAACATTCTTCTTAATGTCCTCTTAACCAGCCAGTCAACCAACACTGTGTGCCTTACCTACAAGCTCTGCTGGAAGAAAGAATTAATTATATATAGCAGAATAATACAATGCCATATCAAGTCTTCTCTCTCATTAGATGAGTAAGAAGAGGTGATTTTGAGACTGTCACAGTACAGGACATACTGACTGAGAAAATGAATGCTGATGTTAGGAGGTGCAGACAAAAGGACATGGGATAAAATTACAGAAAGTTAGTGGAGGAGGAAGCATAGGGTTGTCTACACGAATCAGAATGGCCATGACAATAAGCGGCTATCAGGTGACTGGCTCTTTTAGTAGCCAGAAGTAATAGTACTTCATATGTGGGAAGACCCTGAAGTCACAAGCCCAGTTGTGATTTGCAAGAGACAGAGCTTGACTTAACCAGAAGACTTCAGGGAGGTAGATAAGTGTCAGCATGTTTGTGGCATTAGTGGCATGTAACGTCTTATCCTTGAAGTGCAAATATTTGACCTTATTTACATCTTTGAAGCTTTTTCAGTTTTACTGCTATTTTTACCACCAGACCTTGCCCAAGTATAGTGTTAATACAGGTAATTCTGTCAATAGTATCCCACTGCAAAGAATAGCTGGTTATTATCCATGATCTCCATGTACTACAGAAGACAATCAAGAGTATGGCTGAGCCCTTCAGACCACAAAAAAATGAAATGAACAATGTATTTTCACATTTGGAAAGAGCATATTGTAAACAGGAAAGTGCTAAACATAATATTTTAGAGGTGAAAATATTTATTTAGAATAATTGTTTTATTATTAAATACAAGATAAAAATAATGTCGTGATAGTTATATCAATCATATTTTACAGTCTGGTTCCATAGCATATTATGCAGCCAGTCCAGTCAGTTTTCCAGTACATAATGTCTTAGAAGGATGTCAGATAATATATATAGCTATAAGACTTTTCAACAGCAGCTATTTCCTCAAAGCTGGGTATCTGAATACTTCATTTGAATTTCAAAAATGTAGGGCCTACATTTTTCTGATTATTTTCCCCATTTATTTTATTTTTTTTTAATAATGAGTACTAATGAATGATGCTGGACTGAGCCCAGTGGACTGTGTTATTCTTTGTAAACTGCAGGATAAAGTGGCACGAACACCGTCCCATCTGTCTGCTTTCAAACTGGCTTGTTTTGGGGACATAGTTGGGATCACACACTTGCTTATTCATCCCAGTCTGTGAAGGCAGTTACTACTGATGCTAGGGGCTTGAGATGTTGATTGAAAATGATTGCAATTATCGGCATATTTCATATTAGATTCCCCCCTATGGTCATGAGAGTAGAATGCTGAATGTTCCTCATACTTTTTCATTACTTCATTGTATCCATTCCATAAACATTAATTCAGGGTAAAATCTTGCCTATCGTACTTTACTTAAGTTGAAGTTGTTAGGATTACTTGCATAACTAAAGACACACGGATGTGATTCATGATAAAAACTAAATTACATCGTTAACCTGACATCATGTCCAGAGATGTTCTGCCTGCCTAAAGCAAAGCCACTAATGTGAAATATCTTTTAACTCTAGTACAGAAAACATAATAAACATCAGGAAGGTTTGAGCTCAAGAGGAACTAGCAGGAATCAGGCTGTTTTAAGACCCTTGTAAGTTTCTACTGATAAAAGACCTGCAGTGTGAGCAATATACTGATTCCAGCTACCCCTGTCTTTCGCACACATGGTCAGTCAGTCTTAACTGTGTGGTAATTTTGTAACAGGAGTTGTAATGATTCAATATCTTGGTAATGTAAAACTGAAGTTTTCATGTTGCTTTTGTATGCCATGATGCAGGTTTGTGCTTAAGGCTATCATTCGCAGAGCAGGACTTAGCCTAAAGCAAAAGTCTGAGGATGGAGGACAACCTCGCTTAGCCAGTAGGAAGTGTCAGGCATGGACATGGGCTTTAAGCCATTCCCTCACATCCCATCACCGGACACCCAGGAAAGACATCAGCACTTCTCTGTCCACTCCCCATCATGAGGAAGTTTTAGATAGCAATGAGGTCTCTTTTAAGCTGAACAAAATTCATATCTTCAGCTACTTCTTATCAATCATGCCCTGTAGTCTTTTCACCGTCTTTGTTGCCCTCCTTCAGACACATTCTAATACATTTATACAGTTGACCCTTTTGGGCACTTTGTTGACACTTACTGAGCGTCAGCCACAAGCTGCCTCCAGCCTTTTGACCCCCAGTCTGTACGTCAGCTTAGTAAGGCATGACTTTCCCTTCATGAACCCATGCTGGCTTTGACTGCAAGCGCTTACACCTTTGAGTGTGATTTTGAGTTGTTTTTCATGCAAAAAACATTGGGCTTAAGTGTTCAAAGGGTCATATCTCTTAGAAGTTCATGCAGGGAAAGTGTCCGTGAAATTAGGCTTTTGAAGATAAAGCATTCCTTAAGCTCACACACAGCTGTGCATTTCTGGATGAGACTTAACACTTCCCTGACCATCCATCCCACCCATTTAAGACTGATTCTCCAGTTAATGGCCCCAGACAGTTTTACAAGTGTAAATAAATTTAGTCTCGAAACACCGCAGTGTCTAGCATGTAGATATCAGCAGGTGCAAGGTCCACAGAAGACCAACACCTTTGCAGTGAAATGTATTTACTTCTGACTGTGCCGTAACCACTAGACTGTGCTTCTGGTTCATATGCAGCAATTTTGTATGTGGATACAAATTACAGGGCTAGGTTCTGCTGCTGCTTGTTAAGTGCTGATGACAAAGAATAGAAAAATCTGCTTCTTAAAAAGCTGCTGGGCTTTAAAAGAGGGTTCCCTTAGAAACACTTAATTTGAAGATTGTGTCTAATTATATATTGTTTTCTGAGATCTGCTTTCCTCCCCTTACTTTTTTACTATTAAGACATTTATATGAATGCGATCATCCGCTCTTGCTATTCATTCTCCTCATGAAATCATAATCCTCTATTTGTCACAGCATAATAATTTCCATGGTAGTCAGCTGTGATGTCACATGCAGGGGCTTATGATTTCAAGAGCTGTTTGGCTTTTAAATGTAAACTTCCCATCTTGTAAGCAAATATCCCTTGACTACCTAAATTCTGCAATAAACGGGGACAGAAAAATATATGCTATAGAAGTAATACTATACCTAGTAGAATACTTATCAAAGGTGTCTGTGAGATAGTGGCAGCTTTTCAATGCTCTTTTAACATAGTTTGCTGAGGAGTATTTTGCATTTCATTCTAATTCCGGGCCACTAAGATCTTCTCTGCCAAATACAGAAAAATACACTATTAGAGAAGGAGTTGATTTATGACATGAAAGTTTCAAAGTTAACGAAGTCTTAAGAGAACCTTGAAGGCACGTTTTCTGTCTTGCTGTCTCTCCTGTAATAATCACAAGGATTACATTTCCTTAGAGTATGTGGAGGTTTTAATGCACTTGGACCCTCTCTGGGGAAAGAGGTGGGAGACATGTTCCTTCACCTCCTTGTCAGGCTCTGGCTGCTCCTTGTTAAGCACTAAGAACAAAATTAGAAATGAAAAGAAAGCAAACCAGAGGGTCTGTGTTTGTTTTCATTACTGGTGCTGGCTTGGTGCCCAGCTATGTCAGAAAAAAAATAACTTTCTTCAGAAATTCAGGGTATTGATTAAAGCTGCATTAGGGGCTTCAGATGGAAGAGGCATATTCTACCAAAGATGCCCTCTCTGACAGCTGGGACTTGGACAGCCAAATAAGATCTGACAGTGTCTTCTGATCACAGCACAGGACCACTAGATGAGGCCCTCAGTCAGGGCTTTCAGCTGAGAAAGCATAGGCTTCAGTGTAGAGGTCGACCTATTCATGTGTTCAGAACAAGAGAGAGCTTTTAAAATTAAAATAGCAAGGGCAGCCATCTAGCAGGCTCAATAGATTTCAACACTATGCTCTATCATTCATAGTTATTTAAGGATCCTCCTGAAGCTCAGGCATGTGATGCTAGCTTTTAAAACACATGACAAAGGTAACAGAGTGACAAGGAGAGGAAGAAGCCTTAAACAATGTGGGATGCATTTCTCTGGTATTTGCAGAGCTTCTGTCTCCTCTCTTCCTTTTAAAGGTTTTTCAATGTGAATGGTTTACCATAGTAAAAATAAGATGCTGTTAGCTGAGGAGAGATCGGAGGAAGAGGAGGAATGAGCACTATGTCAGAGGAGGAGAAATAATAGCTCTGACCTGCTGAAGTCAGTGTGAGTGGCCCAGGCCAGGGTTTCAAACCAACTGCACTTGCCCTGCAAGTAAATTCTCTCTCCCCTCCTGAACTTCATGGTCTTCCTCTCCAGATCTGAAAGCTGTACTGACAGCCCAAGGCTGCACATGCAAGATGTAGCTGGCAGGTACAGTATGTCTCCAAATTTGGGCAAGCTGATCAAACATCACCTTGCAAAACACAAACCAACCTCCCAGGGCATGCCTTTGAAAAAAGTAGTTAATGGTAAGTAGCTTTTCCCCATCCTTAGCTTGTTTAACCACTGTGTGCTGTTTATTGCAGGAGTGATTCGTGAGAGTTACCTGAAGGGTCATGATCAGCTGGTGCCAGTCACCCTCTTGGCCATTGCTGTTATTCTTGCTTTCGTCATGGGGGCCATCTTTTCGGGAATCATTGTGTACTGCATCTGCGACCATCGCCACAGAAACGTGGCTGTTGTGCAGAGGAAGGAGAAGGAGCTGACCCACTCCCGCCGTGGCTCCATGAGCAGTGTTACCAAGCTCAATGGCCTCTTTGAGGATGCTCAGTCCAAGGAGCCAAAGCCTGAAGCAATCCTCACGCCTCTGATGCACAATGGCAAGCTGGCTACCCCAGGCAGCACTGCCAAAATGCTAATCAAAGCTGACCAACACCATCTGGACCTGGCCGCCCTGCCAACCCCTGAGTCCACCCCAACCCTGCAACAGAAGAGAAAGCCCAGCCGTGGCAGCAGGGAATGGGAGAGAAACCAGAACCTCATCAACGCCTGTACAAAAGATATCCCCCCGATGGCCTCGCCTGTGATCCCAACTGATCTGCCACTCAGGGCTTCTCCTAGCCACATTCCCAGCGTTGTGGTTCTGCCCATAGCCCAGCAAGGCTACCAGCACGAGTACGTTGACCAGCCAAAAATGAGTGATGCGGCTCAGATGTCCGTGGAGGACCAGAATGCCACCCTTGAGTACAAAACTATCAAGGACCATCTCGGTAGCAAAAGCCCCAGCCATGGGGTTAACCTGGTGGAAAATCTTGACAGCATGCCACCAAAAGTACCCCAGCGGGAAGCTTCCCTTGGGCCTCCAAGCGCCTCGCTGTCACAGAGCAGCCTGAGCAAGCGGCTGGAGATGCACTCTTCTGCTTTCAACGTGGACTACAAGAGAAGCTACCCTACAAACTCACTCACAAGAAGTCACCAGACATCGACCCTCAAAAGAAACACCACCAACTCCTCCAATTCGTCCCACCTCTCCCTCAATCAGAGCTTTGGCCAGGGTGACAACCCACCACCGGCCCCACAGCGAGTGGACTCCATACAAGTCCACATGGCTCAGGCGCAGGCTGTGACTGTATCTCGGCAGCCGAGTCTCACCACCTACAACTCGCTGACGAGGTCAGGGCTGAAACGCACACCCTCACTAAAGCCAGACGTACCTCCCAAACCTTCCTTTGCTCCACTCTCCACATCCATGAAGCCCAACGATGCATGTACATAATCAGAGTGGGGGGGAGGGGGGGAGGACAGCAATGAAGCAGAGGTTGCCCTTGAAAGCCAGTGTTCTGCAACCGTTATCACACGCTTCTCTGAGAAGATGGTTGTTGGAAGCTGAAGATGTGTTGGATTTCTGCTCTCTGGGAAAAGTGGAATATTTTTTTAAAGCCGAGCCATATGACCCATGGTTGAAGGTTTGCAATTGCAGGACTCGCCCCCACAACCCGCCAGTTCTTTGCTCGAAAGACTAACCCTCCATCACAAATGTTGAGCCAAAAGCACACAGGTGAAAGATGACTGTGACATTTCACTCCCCTGCCCCCAGCTGCACAGCATTCCTGAACTGGGAA